TTTTTTTTTTTTTTTTTTTTTACTGACATGTATTTCCAGTCTTTGCCACAAAGAGTTCAGAATGTAGGTTATAACAATGAGAAATGGGTCAGGCAAACAGGAAGGAGAAAATGGGTTGTTGAGAGAACAGTAAAATATGAAAACAACGCAATTAAGATATGGCGATCTTGAAGACGAGAAAAAATTATTGTTGGGGAATGTTGGCAAGATTTAGTAGACTTCATCCAGAAACAAAGGTAGCAGATGCAAAGTCAGCCAGGGTGTTGAAATGGGAAAGAATAGAAGAGAAAGGTAAAGAAGTGTGGAGTGGGACAAGTGGAGAAAGGGTTTAGAGTGGTAACAATATATATCTTCTCCTTTCTTAGTCTGATTATCTTTTGATGGCACCAAGAAATGTAGCTTTTGTTCTTGAATTTCTGTTGATGTTGTGTAATGGTTGTTTTATATTGAATACTTGTCAGAAATTTCATCAGTCAACTGGTGTGCATTTAATTTTTTATATATGAAGATATTTAATCATAGGTGTAACTGTAGAAATGATTAATGCCACCTTTCAACGAATACATTCATAATATGAAAGGAAGACTTGATATCAGCATGGAAAATAACAATTTTCCTAATGTTTTTATAAACGTTTTTCTTGTTGGACTAATTAGGCTGTTTGACAACATTTGAATGTGCAAGCTAGAAAATGTTGCGTCTAAAAATCCATTTAGGTGAACAGTTATTCCATTTGTTATGGACACATGCTAGCTCTCTTTTTCCTCGTACATTCTGAAACCATCTTATTTGAGAATTGTCTCACCACAACAATACTGTCCAGAAACATTCAACCAGCCAGTTGCGAAATCCCAACAACAGTCCTGACTTTTGTGTTTTAAATCTCTTTTAGCCAAGAAGAAGAAACCAAAACTCTTGAACAAGTTTGATAAAACCATTAAAACTGAACTTGATGCTGCTGAAAAGCTGCGTAAAAAGGTATTATTTGAATTCTTCTTTCACACATTGCAAACAAACAAGCATAAAAAGTAACCTGCGAATATTAGATTGTTTCTTGTTCTGTGTCCTCTTTTTTTTTCCAAACCAAATATTCAGGCTTTACTTCAGGAAAAGCTCCCTTCAGTTCCGTCCCTCCAAGATGGCATGTTCACACTTCACCATGATGGTGAAATGTTTTAGGCCATGTCTCGGCATTTGCATGAGGCTTGCCAGAGATGGCCTGAGGCCCCCACAGCCTCAAGTCAGTCTGTTCACCCAGGAAACATTTACTGAGCTTGTCTAGTGCACTCAGAATACTGAGGTGACTAAACCCTGACAGTGTCCAGAAAAGAATACTGTTGGAAACCCTGTCACCATCCCACGTGCTGGTCACAGCTGCGTTTGGGACATGATGAGATGCCTGCCTGGATCATCTCTGAATACAAGGGTCATCATCTCCACAGTTCTTGAGATTTGTATGTTCTGTAGATGTTACTGGAGCTTCAAGCCCTCCGAATGATGTGTGTGGAGTTTTTCCCAGATGTGCAGCACTTGTTTGCTTATCGATATACCACCTTTGTGAGAATCTGGTAACTGATCTTTGCTGCAAGAGATAATGCAAAGTTCCTTAATTTCTGTTCTGGAGAGGGCATGTTCACTACCTGCTGCCTTCTTCCTAGAATCACATTGTACATTTTCCCATGAATATTACTAATTTTGGGGGTGAGGGGGTGATTGCCTGTCTTGGACAAGACTTGTCTTGGCTTATTCAGAGAAAGCATGTGACCGAGAATACTCTCAGCCAAAATCATACCTACACAGTCTCCAAACAAGCTCTCACTTCACAGAGACTTGTAACACTTTTTGCTACAACTGACAGTATTGATGCTAGTTGGATGATTAACTTGAAGAAGGACTGCTTGTCCTTCATCCAGGCAATCCTGGTACAAAACAGGAAACCATCTACATGGAACACTTCCAGATAAAAGAGATTGTCCATATGTGGAGTCAAATCAGACCAACCTGGTGGCCTTCTACGACCAGGTCACCAAATCCTTAGATGCAGGGGTAGCAGTGGATGTAGTCTTTCTGAACTTTTGGAAGGCCTTCAACACTGTCTCTCACCCCGTTCTCATTAAAAAAACTGGGGGACTGTGGTGTCGACACATACACGTTCAAATGGGTCGCCAGCTGGCTGGAGGGCTGCACCCAGAGAGTGGTGGTGGAGAGGTCATTTTCGACCTGGATGGATGTGGGCTGTGGGGTTCCCCAAAGCTTGGTCCTCTGACCTGCAATGTTCTACGTCTTCATCAGTGACTTGGACGAGGGGATAAAAAGCACCCTTTTCAAATTTGCCGATAACACTAAGATGTGGGGGGATGTGGGCACGCTAGAAGGAAGGAATAGGCTACAGTCAGACCTAGACAGGTTACAGGGGTGGGCGGACGAGAACAGGATGGGATTCAACACTGACAAGTGCAACGTGCTGCACCTGGGGAGGAAGAACCAGCAGCATACCTACAAGCTG